CAACCTATTCTCAGACCTACTGAATATACATACAAAATTTCATCAAAATTGGTCAAGCCGTTTCGGAGGAGTATGGTAACTAAAACTGTGACACGAGAATTTTACATATATAGATATGCATATAAATTATATATTTAAAAGAAAATAATTAATCATAAAAGCATACAATAGGCATGTTTTAACTATTAAGTTTGGACACCTAACCATCCCTCTTAGATGGTAGATCCATAGATGTTATTGAAATATAAACTTTAACACACAACTTACTTGGCCTCTCCTCTTCAGAAGCCGATTTGTCTCCTTCAGAATTTTTGTGATGTTTCTTATGACGATGTGAATGTCTTCTGTCTGTTGGAGCGTGGACACCGACAAAGACGCTGTGCGCTCTATGTCCTAATCACAAAAATCCAACAAGTCATATTACTAACGCCGGCTCAAATATATCGAAAATGTGTTTTTACTTTTCAGCACTATAAAATGTCGTTTTCTATATTTTAAGCTGTCTCCTCTATGTCTTCTGTTTAAACGTTGCCCCAAGATGGCTAGTGTTTTAATTTTCAAATAACTATCCAGTGACCGATAAACCATCACATGAATCTTTTGCGAATCCCAACTAAACTTAAATTAAAACGTGACTAAAAAGCCGAAAATGGCATAAAAAAATGGGAACACGAATACGGAATATGTTTACTGCGCACTCCGTATATTGAAAAATTATTTTCAAATGTGCACCTGTTAAACGACAAAAACTTTCAACAAAACGTCCTTCTAAAATTCAGATTTATTGTAATTTCGGGGTTTGACGCACTAATGAGCAACATTGTATATTTTTCACATAACAGAAGCAAAACTTAAAACAAAGAAGCAAAATCAAAAGAAAGTTGGGTCAGTTTTTAAAGAGGCAAAACTTGTAAATTGTTTATAGTAATTAAAACGTAGAAATATTTATAACATTCGTAATAAATGTTCATAATAGGGCAGAAAGACCTATTGGGTCGATAGCCTTTTTCTGTAGGAAATAAAGATTATTTATATATATGTTCATAATAATTAATTAAGATGTTAGTATCCGTAAATACAAAGGTTTTTTAGCGACAAGCGTACAGTTTTTGGGAGAAGAAAAAATTATATGTTCGCTCAAGCCGCAAAAAACGTTTTCGTTCATAATAATGTCGAATGCAAATTGTAATCTATTGGATTTAAAGAATCGATTAATCAAATTTTCGTTACGTCGTTGTTATATATTTGTTTAGACGATTAGTCAAAGCCAGATTTCTTAATTTTTGCTGAGAAATACTTTGCTTAAAATAATATTTTCTGGTTTTCATCGCAAGTATAGAATATAAATATAAATCTTATAAATAATTCTTACCCTCAAAATCTAGTTCACCAAAAGATTGTTTAAGCTTTTCCACTCTTGGGTCCTTTGGAGCTTCATCATCGTGCGGATCCATATTAGTTTACCTATAAAGAAAACCTTTTTAAAAAAATGTAACCCAAAAATCAACTTTGATTTCAATAAATAAATAGAAAATTTTAATTTGGAGTTGCGTTACCCTAAGATTTAAATTAAGACCATGTACATCTCAGCTTCAAATAACACTAGGTCACATTAGGATCAAAGACGATTTAAATATAACTTAGATACGAACTGAGAACCTCAGTTTTGAAGGCGTTTTGCAGGGCAAGCCCTCTTGTATAAGTGCAGAAAGTTTCAATTTTCAGTCATCATCAGGCTATTTATGAAAATTGTTACAAAACTGCGTTGGATTTACGTGGTTGTTTCTTTTGCATTCCGGAGTTTTGTAATCTTTTATTCAGGAACTRACAAACAACGGGATCCGCTTTTGAWTGTATTTTATAAGGCAAAGTCTGATTTATAAGTGGAAGATRTTTCAATTTTCARYCATGCTTTWTTTTGAAAATCGTGYYTGGTTTTCGTGCGGGTTTTTGCAGGACAAGTGTTTAGGCATTTCTTTCCTCCGAAACTTACAAACCTAAAYAGTCCGTTTGGAATGCATTTTGCAGAGAAAAGTCTCTTATAGAAATGTAGAAAGTTTCGATTTTCAGTCATCATCAGRCTATTTTTGACAAATTTTATAAAACTGCTASTACAACTAAAATTGGTTTACGTGATTCTTTCTGCTGGCGGAGTTTGAAATTTTTTATTCAAGAACTAACATACTGAAAGAGCTGATTTTGTATGTATTTTATAGGGCAGTCTACATGTGATTCTCTGAGAAATTTGCAAATTTAGAGAGTCGCTTATGTGTCAGATTCCTAGAGCACAGTCTGGTCCAGAAGTCGACAACGTTTCGATTTGGAATCACCATGAGGCAATTTTCCGTAATATTTGAAAATCGTGTCTAGTTTTTGATTGTGGCTTTAGCAGGCCGGAGTTTAAAATCTATTTTCTCAGTCACTTCCAAAGTGAGAAAGTAAAATTTGGTTGCATTCTATAGACCAATGTTACAATTTATAAGTCAAAAACGAGTCGATGTTCAGTCATCTTCAGGGAATTTTCTTTAGGAATTTTTTTAAATTTTGTATGTGCTTTGTGCTTGTTTTTGCAGGTCACAGTTTGGCATTTATTTATTCGAGAACTAATATATTCAGGGGATCGACTTTGTAGGTTATATAGCGCAACGTCGTAACTATAAGTGCAAAACGTTTCGAATTTCAGCTATAATCACGAAATTTTTGAGAAGTTTTCAAAATTGCATGTGATTTTCACGGAATATTTAAGCAGGCCGTATTTTTACATTTACTTACTCAGAAACTTGCAAACTTTTGTATCAGGTTTTTCGGGCAAGATCTGCTACATTACTCGACAACGATTTCGATTTTGAATCATCATCAGACAAATATCAATAATTTTTAAAAATCGTGACTAGTTTTTGGTTGTGATTTTTGGCTGGCCGAAGTTTAACTTTCAGCTTTCTGTAATGGGAGAACGGAGAAAATACGTTTTGCATGCGTATTCTAGTGCAAAATCGTTTATATAAATGCAGACGGTTTAGATTTTCAGCCATCATCAGGCAATTTTTGACAATTTGTACAAAATGACGTTTCGTTTACGTGGTTCGTTTTTGAAGGCCGGAATTTGGATTTTTTTTATTCGGTAACCAACTAATTAAAAGAGCGGCTATTGCACCTATTTTGTAGGAAAAATTCTGATATATAAGTGGACAAAGTTTCGATTTTCAATCATCAAGCTATTTTTAACACATTTGTTTTCTCAACTTTGGAGTCGGGAGTACAATTATCAAGAAAACATTGCATTTTCTGATTTAAAAATGCATCCAAAATGCATATGAAGTTGGCCTAAAGTATCAAAATTCGACATTTAAATGCATCTGGTTTACATAGTGTAAAATATTTTTGGCTTAAAAATTGTATATCCGATCTTCAAACCTTCGCAACTTTCGAGGTTTCTAACCGATTTTAAATTTCTCAACGGTAGTTTTTAGCGAAAATCACACTCTTTCAACCAAGTTCTTCAATATCCATATCGGACGGGTATTAAGAGACCAAAGGAAACATTTCCAGAGCAAAAAACTCGGGTCTTAAATGCACTGGCCATTTTGTTGCTGAATATTTTGCTTGGAAAATCGCCCATTCGGCATTAAAATCTTCATAATTTTCAATTGATATTAATTAATTGCTCAAAAAGCAATTTTTATAAAAAATTACTATTCTATATATTACTATACTTTCAACAAACGAAAAAACACAAAAAATCGATTTATTTTCAAAAAAATATTTTTGGACTTTAAAATACAACAATTCAAAGCAATTTGTCCGGAAAATCGTCTTTTCGGCTTGCGTAAAATGAACGTTCGAAGTTAGCAAGAAATTGCAATCGAAATTTGCGTATATTAAAATAGGAAGTGAAGTAAATTGTTGGGTGAGAAAAGGTTTGATTTAGCGTCTTCTGAGCATGTTTGAAAATATTTTTTCAATGCGATTTCCTTAAAACTATATAGGTGTTTTTAATGATGAGAGCAAAGTGAAAATTTAATTGACATATAAAATGTTTACAAAATAGGTGAAATTTTAACAAAAATAGAATAAAACGACTGACTGGATAGCCAGCGTTAATTGAGTATAAAAAAATCTAATGCGCTCCAACGTCGGCTTGGTTTATGTTAGGCGGGGAAACCTGTTTTTTTCACAGCGATCATTCAAACGGATTGGAACTTGGAACTGTTCTTTGAAAATATTTGCGTGCGCACAGGCACTTTCCACAAAACAGTCAACAATAAAAAAACTGAAATCGAAGTGCAAATCTAAGGAATGAGTCACCCAAAGGGCGATAAGCAAATAAATGATTATGTTGCTTCAGTAGTTCGGTACCTTTGGAAATGCTGCTTGCATACTTAGTTTATTCAGATAGTGAACAAAATGGGTGGCCAGTTCTTTGTGTCCATCGCGTTCTTATAGAATAAGAAAAGATAATAAAAGCGTAGAATCTTTGTGGCCCTTTAGGCAAATTGAGAATTGGCTTTGTGTGTTCAAGTGTAGTGTGATCTTTTTGAGGATGAATGGATAGAAAATAGAGAACGGAGGCGCCAGCTTGCAGAAAGATGGTAAGAATGATTTATAATCTATAAATCTTTAAATTTGAACTGAGTTTGGTTTTCCGAAACATAACTGAAGTTTTATGGATTCTTTTGACATGGTTTTGGGCAGATTTTCTGCTCTACTGAACACATTTTCTTCTTTCTTTCCAGGTGGTACCAATGCAGCTTTTGGTAAGTTTGGCATTACTTTTCCCCTGGTTGCCATGTAGATGTAGAACTTTTAGTCCCATATTATTGACTTGCATTTTATGGTATTCCTCCGTGTCATATTTATTCGACGTGGAACGACGAGGGAGTTTCTGGATTCTGTAATGGGCTTTTTGAAAATTTTTGTTTCGCTTTTTGGCAAATTAATTGAATCTCATACTTTGGGCATTAACTCGAGGTTTTCTATGGCAGACTCTTTTTATATAAACTTTTAAAGGTTAAATTCAAAATAAATGTCGTTCTCCTGTTACCTCCACATTTATTCTGGTGTATTTTGTATCAATTATTGGTGTTTGCCTGTTATCAATTACACTCGAAACTAAACGGTTTTCAAATTCTCAATGGGGTTTGCTCAGATTTACAAAGTTCAAGTTTTGCTGCTTGGTTCTCCTAATGGTCAGGCTAATGCCACGTAACATAAGGGCGTTCTGCCGTGAACGCACTTTTAATTATGGCTGAAGCAAGTATATCAATTATTAATATTTGTCTGGTGTAAATTTGATTTTTTGCTGCTTTTAAAGTAAATGATACCCCAGAATCCAGACTAAAGAGCCTAAAGGTAAGTGAATTTTATTGATTCTTTTGTGGTGGTCTAGCGGATAGTGCCTTTAAATGTTGCAAGTGGTCCTGACCCGATAATTTAAATTTCGCACTGTTTTTCCAAATTTCACAATCTAAACAAATAATTTTTCCAAACGATTCGTTCCAACGATTTTCAGTGGCCAGGATCTGTCCAACTATTCCAGTTTTTCTTGCTGTTCAGCGCCCTTCAAGCTGCATGTAGTCCAGATCAAGACTATATCCAGACTTGCGGCTATTCTTCTAAATTTGATCCACCTAATGGTTTCAGGGAATTGCAGCGGCCTGAACGCCTGGACAGCAATTTATTTTGTAGAAGTAGATGGCAACCAGGGTTGTAGTTTCTTTTTGATAGCATTTATGCTGCTCGCATGTGCAGATTTGCACATTTTTCCACTTCGCTTTCTGCGGATTTTATATAGCGGTTTTTTGAAAATTGTAGTGCTTCTATTTTCGCATTCCAGGTGAATTGTTGATCTATTTTAGTAGGTCTAATTAGAAACAAGAATTTCCCAAAGCGCTCCATAGAAAAGGTTTTACTGAAGGTTCATACATTTTTAATGGTTTTTAGATGTGCTAAACATCAAGAGCACTTAAAAATCTGATATACTCTTGATTAACTTTTTAAATGTTAGATTTCCCATATCGAAGTAAATATGGAAAGGCAGTTCCCGCAGAGTGCCATCGAAATCGTTCGAATGATTACTTTAATATTGTCTACCCTTTCCCGATAGAAGTTCTGAAACTTTCAGACCTCGTTACCGTTTGATTCATGATAGGCAGTTCCTAAGATTTGATTTACATCGAAATATTCCTAATGATTAAGCAGAKATTTTTAGCCGTTTCCATATCTATTAAAATCGARATGTCAATAACAATAACATTTGATCTCYTCTCCGTYCAAGTGAAGCCTTTGTACAGAATCTTTTRAAGATTTCTCTAAAATTTGTAATTGTTTTCGAGAAATAAGCTTTTAAACTTTGGCGGTTATATCGGAAATTCACACCTTTTTTTTACCCCGTTTTACCTATTAGTTTTCTTGTTTTTTCTTCTAYYTCTTTAGAAGTTCTCAAAACTAGACAYAAAAAAGCSATA